GGCAAAGCATGTGCAAAATCACGAAGAACTGGTTTATCAGCCGATGCCCGAGCACCCGCGGGAAGCGAAGCAGCAAACTGTAAAGGAGAAGTAGTCTGCGAAACTTCCTGAACGGACTCGAAGTCCAGGGCACGCGCCGGGTCGCAAAGCTGTGGCTGTATCATAGACAAAGAACGAAAAGAATTCGGCGATTCACTTTGCAAAGAAGAGGGCTCCGGCGCAGGAAGTGCAGAATCATCAAGACCAGCACCATCAGCTTGAAGCGGAAGACCTGACGGGGAAAGCTGCGAACGAAACCTCTTGACCACAACTGGAGAGTCGTGTAAAGGAGGTTGCTGTTCACCTGCGTAGACCTCAGAAACTTCGGCAACTTCACGGCAAAGCTGTGCTGCGAAACTCGTCGCCTGGAGCTCGTCCACAAAGGACGACATGATCGAATACAAAAGCACTTTGAAAAGCCGACCTCCTTCAAGGGGGAGGGCCTGAAAGAAATTGACGAATATGCTGAACAAATCTCTCCAACCAAGACAAGAAGCAAGGTTCTGCTGTACTGTTTGCACAGAGGATAAAGTAAGGCCAACTCCAGAAGTCCCGTCTTCCAGGTCCCGGATTCGCCCCTCGAGGTAACTGACTCTATGCTGAAGCACTGTATGAGAACCTTGCAGGTCGTGTACACGAGCAGATAATGCTTCGATGCTGGAAGTACTGATGGAATTGACCGAGGCAGCAGGCGAGTCCATGAAAGAAGGACAGCTAGAGGCCAAAATCTCTAAAGCACTGGCAAGCTGAACTGAACTGAAAAGAAAATGCAAGCTGAAGCTATGCAATGCTGAAGCGATGCATGTGCGAAAGCTAAGCGGCTTGGCTGTTGTTTGGGCCGAGCGAGAAGCATTGACTTTGCAACGAAAGTAAAACAACAGTGAGTGAACACACCAACCGGTCCTTACACTTGAAGCCGTCCATCCATGTGTGGCACTCCCCAGTGCGGGGCTTCTTTGCCTGCGCGGCAGTGTCCCCGGATCCACGCTTGTTGTCCCGCAATGGTAGCAGCGGAGGCGGGACATGGGGAACGCCCTCAACGTTTCGCTTCTTCGAGACATTAGGCTGCTTCTGTGTCTTGGGCTGCGGCATTAACAAATGGCGCAGCAGATCACGTTCCACAACCACATGATTGAGCGCGTCGTCCAGCGATGCGCCGTCAAAGCATAGATTGAAGACCTCCGTCAGAGCCGCCAGATCCGCCTCCTCGGCCTCGGCGCCTGTGGGTGGACGCATGGACTCCGATGGCCGGCGGTTGTAGTAGCTCATAAATTTCATTATATAGGTGGACCAAGAACCCAAGTGGCATGCGCTGCACATGGAATAAGCGTTGCCTCGTGTCTCTAATATTGACTGCACACGGAACGCCGACCCAACCACTTCGGCTTCACGTTCTTCACGCAGCACGCCCATGGAATCTGCTACAACATGCAACATTGGGCAACCCGGCACGCTTCGCACGAATCTCCTGGCTGGCCTCTTCGTTGACAATACGATTCCATGGTACCCACTCCCAATGTTTCCCCGTGCACTGAACAGACACCACTTGCAAATAGGACATGGCCGGTAACGTCGCCGGCGAAAACACATGCGCTGGATACCTTTTCTCGGTCTCTTTTCGCATGCGCTCGCGGTCGGTCGTTGTCAGCTTCGTAGCACTGCTTGCGATGCCGCCCAGGCCCACCAGTCCGCGCAAGGACTGCTGGGCTTGAACGCCACCCGTGTCTGGCACCGAAGGGCCAGCCGGCTGGCACTGCTTCCGAAGCAGACGCAACTTCGCCGCAATCGGATGCGTGGACCATTCTTCCGCCGACAAGTTCTTGACTGCATCTCCAAGACTAGGTTGCACCCTCTTCAACCAGCCCTCCAGTGCACTCGTATCAACAAAAGCATTGGCAAAAACACCCGACGAATCATAACCTTGCGCGATGACCTTCTCGCGCACCGCCTCCGGAAGACCCGACTTTGACAACTCTGCCCACTCACCGGCCATGGCAGCAACGCAAGAAGCAAGAAGAAGGCAAGGCAACGCAACGTAAGTGTCTCTCGGCACCGAATGTCTAGAGCCGGCCGGCAACACCCATCCGTATCAAAACAGCGAATGTGCGGATCCACCGCGACAAGTTGGCATCACGCCACGGGGCAAGGTGAGACCGTTCTCACGCAGCCTGCATCACGCAGGGAGCCACGGTATAGCCTCACGCTAACCGGGCACTGACACAAAGCCGCCACCTGCAGCAAACTTCACATGTAGCCTCACGCCACGGCGCAATTTAGATTGCGGAGCATCTCTCTCCACACTCAAGCACACGCATCAAGCGCCGCTAGACCCTAACACCGCTCAGGCACCTTGGGCCCACAGCCACACATAGCTCCATTTCAGAGACCGCGAAAGCACCCGGCATGTTTGATTTTTTTTTGCGTGGTTAGGCCTCGTCGACGGCGCGGTCCTAAGGTAAACGAAAAAAAGCAAAAAAGACCAAGAAAGCTCTGAAAGCGGTGAAACCTGCTGCGACTTACAGACTTAGTCGGAAAAGGTCGTTCAGCAGTTAATTACCAGCCTCATATGAACATCAGCTCCGCTCAGATGCCCCGCATTCCCAGATTTCAGGGTCGCGCAATGGCAAGTCCATCGTCCCGCTTCCCGTAATGCATGGGTCGCGCAATGGCTCATACTGGCAGCTTCAAGCCAGTGTAAGACACCAAGGCATAGCAGACCAGCGTGCAAGTGCCAGATGGCCACAAGCCCGCAGCTACTTGAGGTCCCATATGAAATCTGATTGGATGGACGCCGATAACGAGAGGTGGCTGAAAGATGAGACTGATAAGACGCCCAGA